TTTTTTTTTTTTTCAATTTCAATCAAAGAAATGTATAGTGAAATGAGGAACATTTTTGATTGTCCTCTAAATTATCAAAACTAAAATATGTATAATCCTCTATATTTAGGTAAAACTAAATTGAAACTACCACTGGTGTGTAATTAATTTAGCATGACTTTTTAAGAAAATGTTTTGGCATTATATCCTAATAACCATAAAAAACAGACCCAGAAATCCCCCTTCTATGAATAAAGCCCACAACAATAATCTAAAACTCAAGACATTTAATACAATCCAAATGGCAAAAAATCATCAATGGAATATTAAGAAATCACTCTTTGAGAGGGATTTTACCTAACAAATGCAATTAGTGTAACCTGGTTTTTTCTATCCTCAATGAAATCCCAACAATAAAAATAAATAAAAATAAAAAGTGATTAACTTAAAAAAAAAAGAAAGCAATCACTCTTTTAAATGAATCACAGAGATTACAAAAGAAGCTGGAAAATGTTTACAATTCAAATTTATAAACAATCATACACATTATTGGTACGATTTATACCAATTGTACACATTATGTTTACAATTACAAAGAAAGATGCTTATGAAAAAACATTGGAAAAGAATACTGCAAAAGGTAATTTAAAAATTTTTCAAAACTTTCAATAGGGTAAGCATATTAGTCTTTAAGTTAAATAACTAAAAAAGAATATTTTTGTCTCAATACATTTTCTATTTAAATTAATACAACTTGGTTCTTCAAAATTAACTGAAATGATAATGTATCTTCATAGAAAATACTATATCTAAAGCAATGAAATATTTGGGATACACACATGAAAAATACCACTTTCTGAAAAGACTCAAGTACATTGTTACTTTAATAAAAGTATAATAATGCAAGCAAATCTATTATTAATACTTCTTTTATACAATACGTATGGAAGTAGTAATACCTAACTTCTTTAAAGGTACAAACATAAAGATGGTAAACACCAGGCAGGGCGTGGTGGCTCACGCCTATAATCCCAACACTCGGGGAGACCAAAGAAGGTGGACTGCCTAAGCTCATGGGTTCAAGACCAGCCCGAGCCAGAACAAGACCTTGTTTCCAAAAAAAAAAAAAAAGCTGGGCTGTACTCCCAGCTACTTGGGAGGCTGAGGCAAGAGAATCGCTTAAGCCCAAGAGTTTGAGGTTGCTATGAGCTGTGACACCATGGCACTCTACCAAGGGTGACAAACTGAGACTCTGTCGCGAAAAAAAGAAAGAAAAGAAAAGAAAAGAAAAGATGGTAAACATCTTCGTTCATGTTAGTAGACCAACAAATAAATACCGGACCCTAAAGAAATCACTGGTATTTTTTCCACCAAAAATAGAACAGTTTGTTTGAAAAACCATCACTCTATTACTACCACCGATCATTCAGGACAGAATCCTTAAGAGCTGAAGTGTAGAAATGGATGCAAGTATTAATGGTTCCACTCTTCTGAACCCACAACACAGGGCTTTAGCTAGAGGTGGTGAGCTGACAGGACAGGTTTTCTGCCCCTTTGGAGGCTCTCTCCTACCCGCTAGAACATCACTATTATCTCTGGACCAAACATGAGAGAAGAGGGGTTTTCCTATGAAAGGCTAACTGGCCTGTGGTTATGCTCCAGGATTTAATGGGCTGGGAGCAAAGTCCCTCACATTGCACTGCACTCAGAAACAACCCTCATCCCACAGGCTCCCAACTTCACAAGCTGCACTGCTTACTTACAGACAAACCAGGAAACTGGGTACAGATAGTTCATGGTACTCATGACCACTTAAGGGGGGGCGGGAAACAACTCAAAGAGCACATCAACTATGGATAGTGTGATACCCTGACATACCACTAGAAATGCAGGCCATCTGGTGTATTGCTTGGGAGTTGCACTGCTAAATGGTAGGGCCCAAGTATTTGAGTGGCTGTTATTTTTAAGAGACAGTTTTACTTTGTCACCCTCAGTAGAGTGCCGTGGCATCACAGCTCACAGCAATCTCCAGCTCTTAGGCTTAGGCGATTCTCTTGCCTCAGCCTCCCAAGTAGCTGGGACTACAGGCACCCACCACCACACCGGGCTACTTTTTGTTGCAGTTTGGCCAGGGCCAGGTTTGAACTCACTACCCTTGGTATATGGGGCTGGAGCCTTACTCACTGAGCCACAGGCACCACCTGAGTGGCTGTTATTTTTGAATTACAACTTACTCTGCATTGGGAAGGAATGAGAAAATAAATCCTAAGTATTACCAACCTTACCTAAACCAGTTGGTCAACATACTTTTTCTTAGATAGGGAACTGAATACACTAGAAAAAAATTATATTAGTTATATACTCAAAAGAATTCAAAAAGAGAAATACAAGCCAATGTGGTGGCTCAAACCTATAATCCTAGCACTCTGGGAGACCAAGACAGGTGGACTGCTTGAGCTCAAGAGTTCAAGATCCAGCCTGAGCCAGAACGTGACCCTGTCTCTACTAAAAATAGAAAAACTAGCTGGGTGTCATGGCAGGTAGCTATAGTCCCAGCTACTGGGGAGGCTGAAGCAAGAAGATCACTTGAGCCCAAAAGACTGAGGCTGCTATAAGCTATGATGACACCATAGCACTCTACCCATGGCAACAGAGTAAGACTTCAATTAAAAAAATAAAAAAGAGAGAGAGAAATATTAGTAAAATTCCAATATAGAAAAGTGCTACATTGTTAATACTATATTACAGTGTTTTATATATATATATATATATATTCTTTTTTTTTTTTTTT